CTTGGGAATTGCTTCCAACATCAACAGCCATATACCTGAAGGATCAACTTCTCTTGCGATTTTTATAGCATCTGAAGTGGCAATATCTTGATTTGCGGGAGAGATAGCTAAGATAATGCAGTTTGGCTTCACAATCAAAGAACTAAATTAGATAGTTTATGAGAAACATCAAGAAGGTAAATGATAAGAATCAGTGTAGATACTGGATTCCGGAAAAAAATATCAGAAAGGCAGTTTAGTTTGCTTAAAATGACTTGTATGAATTACAAAATCGTACTATTAGAATGCATTATAGCCAAGTTTCCTTTCTTTACTGGTGCAGGCTGATATTGCCCATGTTAGCCTTTCTGTTTTGCTTTGGGCCTCTTGATCCCTTCTTCCACCCCAAAACAAAAAAAAACAAAAAAAAGTGTGACCCTAAAATCAATTCCGCTTTCCATCAACTGAGGAATTGGATAATTTCTTAATCCTTCAACTACATCATACAGTTTCTTCAAACTTGAGTCATAGTATGGTTTTCAAATTCTAGCATTAAAATGCAAGCTGGTCAGTCATGAAGACAAATGAAGATCGGGTTAACAGTGACTGTATGGCTGATTATGAGCAAATGGTGATCACAACTACTACAAACAGTGAAGTTTTATTATAAAAATGGATAAAAGAAATGACTGATAGGAAAATATTCTTGTGGAAAGTTGAACCTCACTTTCTCCATTAACTGAGAAGAAACAAATAACGTAAATTTCTGGTATAAGATTGCCAGAATTAAAGATAAATGATTGATTACCTAAAAGTGGTGTGTTATTTGAAAGGGGTTTACAATCAGTCTAGTTAATGCTTTATATCATGCTTGTTTGATAAAATTTTAAATCATATCTGACTATTGCATTCTTCTATTTATATCAAGAGTATAATTACCTTCTCAACATAAGAACGGACCATGTTTTCAATATCCTGAACAATACTCTCTTGTTGTCCCTCTGAAAGAAGCCAAAATTTTGTTACACATCAGAGATTCAGATGAGTCTTTTGAGGATATGAAGCAATTTGTATAAAAATACTGGGAAGTATATTGAGACTTACCTACTGCAACCTTCGTCAACCCAGGAAGGTCTATGAGGGTTAAGTTTACAACTGTAGAAAAAGCCACAAATATCATGTTACATTTCAAACCATTGTCATATGAAAAGAGGGCAATATTAGCGAAGAAGAAACTATGTATCATTCAAATTCCCAACAAGGAGGGTGTGGATTGAAAGAGAAACATAATGTTCTTCAACCAAAAGAAATTAATTATAATTTCTAAAATTTAATAAGCTGCAAAGGCAACACGGCAAGAAAATAATCAGAAAAAACAAATTGCTAAGCTGATATGAAGTGGATGTAAAACTTTACTAAAGCTATCACTTTGAAGCAATCATTGTATACAATGATTCTTAAAGATATTATACTCATAAATTTTCTTTTATACCAGAGCCCAAAGCTTGAGACTGCATAGCATTTTTACAGAATCTAAACTGGCAACATAAACAGCAGTAAAACGTCAATTGCGGCGAGTGTACGGTTGAAACTTGAAATAATCACCTTATCAAACAAATCATTGAAAATGTGGGCTGGATAATTTAATTTGTAGAGCATTCACTGGTAGAAAAGGACAAGAGGACGTAAAAGTTTAGAATTCAACCAACATTAGTTTAAAGTTCACTTTTGACCTTAGAAGCATGGACGCTTCATGTAAATGGACACAAGAGACACAGCAAAATTGAAAGTGTTCAGGTTCTTTTTTGAAGTGTTGCATCGTGACTGACATGGCGCCAAATACACATCCATTAAATGGCTACCATATTGAAGTGTCCATAACAAACAAGGTAGGTACTAGCTCCAAAAATTAAAGGGAGGATTTTATAAAGAAGGAAAAAAAAAAGTCAACAGGAGGAAGGAGACATGAAACAATGGATCTTATCATTAAAAATAAAAAATAAAAAAAATATAAGATTAACAAAAGTTGAAGAAAAAATGAATCTGTAGCAGGAAAGAGGCCAGTATTCCTCATCCTCTAGACCTGAGCAGAACCTACTTCTCAGCAATCCAGAATTAGATCGAGTAAAGTGAAAACAGAACTAGAATTAAAATTTCAAAAAATATGAAACACGGAACATACAATTAATAAACACTGATATCTGGCATGTGTCTACAACTCTCCATTGACCAGTTTCTTATAAAATATTTTATAAGACCTCAATCAAATTGCTTTCAAGTTTCATCTATCATATTATGAATGGATCATGTAAATACAAACCATTTGGAGAATAAATGCTGAGGTGAATTGGAATATTAGAAATTTGCTTTGTCTTCCCGGTTATACGATCTGTTTCATCTGCTATTTCCTTCCTCACAGAAGCTGCGTGGGCACAAAATGAATGTAAGAGAACCAATTAGTCCTGAATTCACAACAGTATAAACTCTTCCAGCAATCGCGTTATTTGTTAGCCACAGTGAACAATGGACACACAGACAAACATCCCGAACCCTTTGCTAAAACAGGCCCTTGCAGAATTTACATCTCATCCACAACCATAACCTCTATTTCCAAGACATATAGTAACTAAGTATTATGAAAATGATTGACAGATTGAAACTTAAGTTTGCAAGAAATCAGATGAATTTTTGTATAACATATTCAGCAGTAAATTTTTGCCACAAGTGGTTAAATCTACCAGCTTCTACGGAAGGAAAAATTCTCCATTAAATTCAATTAAGTCTTCATGAGTTTCGCTGATAATAGCTTATTAACATAAAAAAGTAAATAAAATAAAAAATTAAAGATAAATCCAGCGGCCATACGTGATGTTAGCTAATCATTATTGCATAACATGTTGAAACAGAAGTTGGAGACTTTATTTACCGAAGTCAGTGAATTTCTTTCTTGGTAAGTGAAGAAACTCGGCATATTCCTGTCCATTGTCCGTCTTATGAAGTTGAAGAACTAGTGGCCTCCGTGTAACAATACCTTACAAATAATGAAAGATAACGTCACAAAGCCATTCATAAGAACAAAAATGATCACCTAGGAGCAGCTATTCACAGTAATCTAAGCTTTAAAATACTTGGTAAACAGTAACCACTATTGCATCAAGCTGGATGGTATTTCTGAACTACATTGCTGAAGAGATCTCGATAAATAACAAGTGAAAACAGAAAGTGAGGATTACCAGATCCACGAGGCAGAAAATCCCTTCCGACCACACTTTCCAACACTGAAGATTTCCCTGAACTCTAATTTTCCACAAAACAAAAAGCAGCCACTTACAGTTTTGAACGCATTGGAGATCAAAATAAGAGAAATGGAGGATACCGTACCTGTCCTCCGACGACAGCGACGGTGGGAAGAGCCTCCCAGAGAGACAAACCCTCGCCACCGTGATCGCCCAAGACGGTGCACGCTCGTTGGATCTTATTTATAAGACCGATCAAACTCGTCATGGTCGCCATTTTCGATTCAAAAATAGATCAGATCAGTCGGGGAAAAAAATGAGGGGGGAGGAACGGGATCCAATCCAAGGTTTTAAGATCAAATGAGTTTCAGATGCACAGTGCGCATCCAAACAATGCGAAAGAACACAAAACGGAATTTAATGACGGATGAAGATACCAAACTGTAAACCCAAACGGCTCGACGATGGGTGAAATGGTCACATCACACGTTCGTATGAGTTAAAATAACTAGTTAGTTCTAAAGTCTTTTTTTGAACATTATTATGACATGACAGAAATAAAAACAAATATAAATATGGGTCCGAACTAGTGGTGTTCGCGGTCTAGATTAAATCGATTCTGAAAGCAAAAATCTGATCCAATTTTTTGATTTGATCATGTAATCATCCATTCGGTTTAATTTTTTTTACAAATCTAATCCAATTTTTTTCGATTTGAATTGGATATGTTTTTGGTTTTTTAAAAATCCTAAAATTTGTTTCATAATTAGTTAGTGTGCAAATAACATTTTTTTGTATATATTGGCTTTGTAAATTTATTTATTTTTTAAATACAAAAACATCAGTAAACGATAATATAGTTTTTTTAGGCAATGAGATATGAAGCTCTACATAGATGAAATTTTGTGGATGAGATGTGATTAGATTTTTTCTTGGATTTCGTTGATAGGTTAATGGGTCTTGAGTTGGGCTATGATTGGGGAAAGGTCCAAGTAGGTAGAGGGGAATTAATATATTAGATCAGTTTTCGTCAATCAATCCGAAATCCGATCCAATCCAATTAAAATTTGTGAGTTTTTTTCGGTTTTTGATTTTTCGAATTTCGATTTATTGTTATCGATTTTTCGGATCGTTCACCGCGATTTGAATCGGTTTGGTTTGATTGATGAACATCCTCAGTCCAAACTGTATTTTCTCTTTTCAAATTTATGAAATAAACTAATTCTTGAAAATATAATTTGTACATAAGAATTTAACGTATGTTATTATTATTATTAAGTTAGGTTGATCGATTGATAGTTCTTTTTCTTTTCGAATTCCTATGGTCGAAGAAGTAATGCATATTCCTTGCTTGCATTTACTTAACTGTGCTTGCGATTAATTTTTTTTTTTGGTATCCACGATTAATTTAATTCTTGATGTTAAACTCATTATTAGTATTGATTTATTTATTGTATTTGTTGATTACGTATTGTAATATGATGTTAAGCGTTTAACGTTAAATCAAATTAGTTAATTAAACACGTATATAGTTCAAGTAATTAATGATGTACACATATACCACCTCTAAAGTTTACAGTTGGCAATCTAAGCCATAATACCTAACTTTTATTAGTAAAAATAAAAAATAAAAAAAATGCAATACAGTTGTCAACCAAACTGCAAGGGAAGGCCCGTTGTTGTTGTGGCCGGCCCGGCCCAGGATACAAGCCCATTTTCGTCCTCCTTCACGAATCTCCATTTCCTCTTCGATTCCCATGTTTCTGTGTTAAAGTGAGACCAAGTTTCCAACATTGTGTGCCCTTTAAGCGACCATTTCCGAACCTACCTCAAATCAATGCTCACAAGAAGAAAATTCCTGAACTTGTTCTCAACTACCAACGTTTCTCAAATAATTTGTCACCAACTTAATGCAGTTCCAAAGCCATTGCACCCTTTTTCTGAAATCCCCAAAAGGTTTAGGGTTTTACTATTTTATGGAACGCAAGCATCGAAATTTCCGGAATACGAGATGCCATCTGTGACGTGGGGCGTGATTCAGGGTCGCAAGGAGAAGCTGGTTTCTCGGGTAATCGTCTTCGACTACCTCAAGGGTTTGGGAATCATCCCTGATGAGTTGCAGGACTTGGAGCTTCCTTCCACCGTTGATGTCATGAGGGAGCGCGTCGAGTTTCTTCAGAAGTTGGGTTTAACCATTGATGACATCAACAACTACCCTTTGATGCTAGGATGCAGTGTAAGAAAGAACATTATTCCTGTGTTGGGGTACTTGGAAAAAATTGGGATTCCAAGGTCTAAACTTGGTGAATTCGTTAAGAATTATCCACAAGTGTTGCATGCTAGTGTCATTGTTGAGCTTGCTCCTGTTATCAAGTTCCTTAGGGGGCTTGATGTGGAGAGGGATGATATTGGGTATGTGTTGCAAAAGTATCCTGAACTTCTTGGGTTCAAGCTTGAGGGTACTATGAGCACTTCAGTGGCTTATCTTGTTAGTATTGGTGTTAACCCTAGAGATATTGGTCCAATGGTAACACAGTATCCTTATTTTTTGGGGATGAGAGTTGGGACTATGATAAAGCCTCTGATTGATTACTTGCTCGTTTTGGGGCTGCCAAAGAAGATTTTAGCTAGGATGTTGGAGAAGCGAGCCTATATACTTGGGTATGATTTTGAAGAGACTGTGAAACCAAATGTGGATTGTTTGATCAGTTTTGGTATAAGGAGAGAATGTCTGCCTTCGGTTATTGCTCAATATCCGCAGATTATTGGGCTGCCTCTTAAGGCTAAATTGTCTTCTCAGCAGTACTTTTTTAGTTTGAAGCTTAAGATTGATCCGGAAGGGTTTGCACGAGTGGTGGAGAAGATGCCACAGGTGGTTAGCCTTAACCAACATGTGATTATGAAGCCAGTTGAGTTCCTCCTTGGGAGGGGAATACCGTCCCCTGATGTGGCTAGCATGGTGATCAAGTGTCCTCAGTTAGTAGCACTGCGACTTGAGTTCATGAAGAACAGTTATTACTTCTTCAAGAGTGAGATGGGGAGACCCATAAAAGAGCTTGTGGATTTCCCAGAATATTTTACTTATAGTTTGGAATCCAGGATCAAACCCAGATACCAGCGGCTAAAGAGCAAGGGGATAAGGTGTTCATTGAATTGGATGCTAAATTGTAGTGACCAGAGATTTGAGGAGAGATTGCAGGGTAATTACATTGAAACTGAAAGTATAGGTCCGTCATTCTGTTTGGGTGGGAAACTAGAGTTGCCAGGGAATGCTGTAGTGTCAGATGAGGAAGAGGAGAGTGATGATGAACTACTATACAGACAAACTGTTTCTCTTTAAGTCAACTATTTTTTTTTTTTTGCAACAGTTGATGAAACAACTACAGAGTGTAACTGTTATCAAATGGAGGACTAGTTTTTATCTATTTTTCCTTTTTATATTATTATTGCATCTTTTTACAAACATTCAAATGTTAGTTATCTGTCCATTCATTGTGCCTAAATATCCTTGGAGTCGGAGTAAAGTCCTAAACCTTGATAATATACCGTACATGTTTGCTACCTTCCCCATAACTTGTATGCAAATTATGTCTGTTTTGAATTGGGAATGTTTGGTAGTTTCTTTCGTTATTTAGTACTAGTGCCATAAAGACAGAATTTTGAAGTCTCCTTTTTGTGCTTGTTAAGTCAGTTGAAAAAGTTGATTAGGAACGCATCCAACATGTAAATCAATCCAATTATGGCTTTATTGCAGAAAATCATACGGTATTATAGTTCCTTAGCCATTGGAATGGTAAAGTGAGATTAAAAGAAGGGCACAAAGAACCAGAAAACAGAGGCTTTTTGGATTCATGACTTTTTCTCAACTGTCTCCGCAGCCAATTTGAAGTCCTTATTCATGGTCCTTTTTGTTCTTTGATTTTTGGAATCGTTTCACCATTGAGAACGGAGGAGACAAATCAAACTATGAAAGGCTGCTGCAAGGCAACGCTCGTAACCGAATTGATATGCGCTTATAGCATATAAGGAAATCTGAGCCAAAAAGAGAAAGAATGTTGATGAAATCTTAAGAAAAAGAGCAAGAATCACTGTTAATTTGTCAAAATCTTAATCAAGGATTGAATACTGATTTTATGTTAATTTTGTAGGAAAAAGCAAACAAACTGGAGCAAAACGAGGATTTTTCAAAATCAAAATCCACGCTCAAAGCGTGGATCTCACGCTGGAAGCGTGGAAGGAATTTTTCAGACAGAAGCGTTCACGCTTGAAGCGTGAATTTGACGCTGAGAGCGTCAGTTTGCGAATTCTCAGATCCCGTGTTTTGCAACGGGGCAATTTTGGAAAAGGAAAAGATTTAAAAATAAAGTGTGGATATTCAGCAATTAGATCTCTCTCCAAATTAGAGATAAGATTAAAAGAGATGCGAAAAAGATATAAAGCGGAAACAGATTAGATGATTTGTGAGAAGATTGAATCAAGATACAATAAAGATTTGAAATTCTAATTTATCAATCAAATCTCCAAGATTTTTGCATGAAAAAGGAAACAAAGTTTAAATCAAATACAAACTCTTGGATGGACTCAAAAGGACGATTAGATGATGGGCTCAATTCCGGTGGTTATAAATAAGGAGCTTGGGAGCACAACCAAAGTAACCAATTCACAACTCGGAGCAAGCAGTAGAGGACTGAAGATCAAGAATTCTTCTCCATTCTTTCCAGTAATTATAGTTTTTATGCTTCCTTTTGAATATTTGTTTATGTCAGATATGATTATGTCTGGCTAAGTTCTTTTATTGTAGTTAGGGTCACAAACCCTATGTGAACCCTTGTTATGACAGATTAATTTAAATTATTTTACTCGTTTATATAAATTTCTTTATCTTACCTTGTGCGTATTTGATATTTTCTTTATTAAACCTGATCAATTTGATAGTTGAAAATAGTTTGAGGGTTAGAACCTTAAATAGGGGTATTGGGGTTTCTGATCTTGAAAGGAGATAAGATAACTATTGGTATGCATACTAGGGATAGATGTATATTTAATTGCAGATGTTGGAATTATTGTGTTCATTGCTTAATTCTCATGAGGGGTTACTAAGGGATTAGGATTCTAAGTGAGGTCAAAGGGTTGAGTTACCAAGGGATTGAGATTTAATTATTAATATATTGAGATCATAATTATCTGAGAAATTATATAAATAAGTATTTTGTATCAATCCAAAGTAATAAGTGGGGATCATAGGTAGAGTGTTCCCTAACTGCAATTCTTTCTCATATTTTCAAAACCAACTCCATTATTATTATTCTTTTCATTCTTCAAAATACAAAAACTCAAAAATAAGTCTTTACTTTTATGGTTACTAAGATTCAATTTAATTTTCCCAACAAGAGATCAAGTTTTTCAACTTAAAGTAACTGATTATTTTAGTACTTGGTTTTCAATCCCTGAGGAGACGATCTTTCTTACTACTTTACTACTTATGCGAAACGGTATACTTGCCGGATAGCATCACGAATCCATGCTAGTGAACCTTGAGTTGGGTGAAACGATAATGTGGACATGACCAAGCAGCAAAGTTTGGTGTCCTTGATCGTCTATGCGATGTTGACAATTGAAATTGGATTAATACCATCCCAAAGAAACCAGATTCACTATAATTTGCTTCCCCTCCGGTGGTGATGGATATGTGATCGTGATGTTGATGGTGACACCAAGTTAGATCGGTTTGTAAATGATCATGTGAATAGCCAAGGGAAGTGTTGGAGTTGGGAAAGTGGAGAATGATACAAAAATTAGGCTACATCAATCAAGCTAGTTAGTTAATTGACACTAAAGCTCTCCACCCTATGTATCCACACACACACACACACGCACAAAAAGCTATCCACCCTGAGCGATGCAGATAAAAAATTGAAATTATTTGGACCCAATTCTAATAAAAAAATATTGAAGAAAGCTACTTCAAAACAGAATAAAACGACTGGAATTTGCAGCGCTGCAACAGCTGAACTTTGGCGAGTATTTCAGGGACTTGAGTGGCCGAGATCTGGACGCGACATACTGATTCCGCAGGGGCTTCCTTACCCCGTCTTGCTTCTTTAGTTCCGTAGCTTTCTTTAGTTCTGTAGTTTAACGTAATCAAATCTTCATAATTTACAAACAAATTTTCTATAAAAACTTGTTTTATATTAAAATATTGTTGGCTAACCGTTTGATATGTGTATATTATTTTGACCTTTAAGCCAGGCTATGATGCCCTAAATCCACTAGGATTTAACTGCAAATTTCAAGTAATAAATATCTAATTATGACGAAAATGAATATTGTGCTTTATATTTGGCCATAATTATAACTTCTCGACAAGAGATAGTAGGTACAACTGGTACGGATACTACCCACAAGTTTAAGAGCGGAGAAATAAACGAAAATGCAGTATTTCGTGCTTCTCTCAACTTGAAACTATGAATGTATAACACAATCAAATAAACTTAGATTTTGATCTGATTACAAAGATATTAACAAAGCTGAACCAACACAATCACACTATCTATGTGTTACAAATATCAACGGCAAAAAGGAGAAAAGGAAGGATAAATCTACCTATACAAACACATTGACATAGCCACTCAAAGAAAAGCTGAAGGTTAGCTCCAAGTTAATTGTCTTCCTTTGCTTGGCTTCCAAGCCGATCTCTCTAAGCAGATAATACAAGTATACAACAGTCTAGGTCAGATGTATACCGAATCCTTAAATTCTTTTCCAACCCTCACTCAACCCATGGCCAAATATCATTAACAACGGTCGTCGGCATACCGGTTACAATCTTACAATCAACTGGTGACAAAAAAAAGGCAAAAGTAAAAATACAAATAAACAGAGAAGGGCAGAAGAACGATCCTATGAAAGTTCACTCCTTAGTGCCACTGCAATAAGCTTACTGTCATTGAGTGCTGCGTGTTAATCCTCCCCGTGACACATTTCTGTGCAAATGTAAGATTCCCCATCAGTCATCCAAGTTATTACAGGGAAAGCAGAAATATGAAAGAGAGGTTAGACAACTGAAACAAAAGGCAGTAATATACTCGACAATTTAGCCTTTATTAAGAATAAAAATTCAGACAATAACTATAAATCCTCAATCCTTTAGTGTCTTGTTTCATAAATCTGTCGGTTCGCATATAACTAGTCAAGAAAACATAAATAATCAACGGCAACTACAAGCATTAAAAGGCAAATTCTAGGTTCAACTAGGACTCTGGATAACTCATCCAACTAAAGATTACACGATAATATAATATATAGAAATATCAATAATCAGGTTATGTAGATTGACCAACAAGTTAAAAATTATTGGCAACCAACATATAGACTCTTCAAAAGATAAGAGGAAATCAGGAAAGAGATACTTGACCTGACTCAAGAGGACACAACATTGCAACAATTAATTCCATGAGTAGAAACCGCAATATTTATTTGTAATGAGTAGTATTAGACATCCCTCTTTTTTTTTGGGTAAACATTAGACATCCCTTCTTTAAATCTAAAGGATGAGCTCCATATTCAGGCTTTTTTCTGCTGCATATTATTTACTACTGTCTTGACACCTACTTGCGTTCATGTTAACTAACATTTGTTTTTTAAGATGTTGCTTAATCATATAATTTTATTCTTGTTTAGATAATTAAAGAGAAAAGAGGAGTTTTAAAGATTAAAATAACTATCCACTATCCATTATATTCATATTTCATTTAAAGAATTAAGAGAGAAAATATAAGTTTTATTTTTTCTAAAATAACTACCCACTACCTATAATTTCCTATACTTAAGGTTAGGATTTATCTATTTTGAAGTTAATAGGAAACCTATTTAAAAAAAGTATAATTTGACAATTTAGTCACCAATTCAGGAGTTTACTATTTCAATTAATAATCTGCAAGTTGAAGAACTGTCGGTATAGCATCTAAATAATAAATCCTATGCCTTGTGGAGTCTTGGGATTTTGACAATTAAAAGCAAATGTAGTTTGAAGGAAGATGATGATAACAAGTTCAAGAAAGAATGAGGCAGATAAGAGAGCAAATCAATGAAGTGCCTTTATGGAAGACCCAAAACAAAATCATAACACCCAGACTGATAAATTATGTAAATAATGCCATGGCCCATGAACTAGAATTACTTCTAAGACGAGCTGTATAAAAAAAAAATACAGCACATATGCTAAGAAATATAAGATATAAGGTGTAACCAATAACAAAGTTCTTCCTTTTTGTCTATATAGATGTAAAACTTCTTAATCATTGCTAAGTTCAACTTCAATGACCAAAACAAGAGGCTCGGATTGAAAACAAAATTGTCTTTCAGGTAGTGGACTAGTGGTGATATTCAGTGCAAAGATAGACCATGAACAAATGCACATCCTTTAACCCAAAATCCAGCAAATTGAAATAGTTTATATCCATGAACAGAAACACCTAGTTAAATATCCCTTGAAAGTAACAGTAAAATAAGAGAATGAATCCATAAGATAGGCAAAGAACCCGGCCTCAATCATTTACAGAAAACAGCAGGCTATAGTACTCCATCAAATAAAATATACAAAAATTAGACCAAAGAACAAAGAAATAAAATCAGTACCTTCCAGAAACAAGCTGATGCTGGGCACTGTTCATAGGGCCCTTCACACCACTGAAACGTTTTGCTCTGTTGTCTTGTTCTTTCTCCACACGCATTGCAGCTACCTCCTTCTCCATGGCAGATACTTCTCTTCTCATCTTCTTTGCCTCAACTTCCATGGCTTTGGTCAATGTATCTACTTTCTTTGCTAGCATCTGACAGATAATGACCATTTGCAACAATTAGCTAAGATTATGATTATCAACTAGAAATCTAAGATTAATAACCCAAAACATGTAAAATAATAAATGCTAACCTCAATGGCATCATCTTTGTCTTTTAGGCTTTGATCTTTCTCATGACCAGCTTTCCTCAAGGCTAAGACTTCTTTCTGCAACAAATCATACAGAACTCCAGGAACACTATCTCCCGTATCCACCATTGGGAAGTCATTTGGCTTATCATCCAAATTTCCTTTCCAATTATCATTTTTCTCCTTGTCTTTGGTTCCTTCGGAAGACTGATTGAATGAGTAACTTGGAGGTTTTCCATTTAGAAGAATTTTACTCCTTTCTAGTGATCTTGTCCCACCATCAAATGATTTAGATGTGCTTTTAGCATTCTTCAAAACTGTGCTGGAGGACACAGAGGATCTCGGTTGAGAGGATGGTGTTCTCTTAGATAGAAACCCATTAGAGGTTAGTTTTGAGATGCTATCAGCTCCACCAAGGGATTGACGTCGAGAAGGCCCATTACTAACACATCTTCCCTCTGAGGTGCCACGATTAATACTGTTAGAAGTTTCTCTCAAACTCTCTTGTAGCACTTTAAGCCGTAATTGATATTTTTCCTGAAAATTGTAAAAGGTTTACGTTGACTAATGGCAGAAGTAATCTCCTACGTTAATACATGGAGGCTGAAAAACCAGATTATTACTTTTAACTGCGCTTCAGATTTTGCAGTGCGCTCAGATATAGCAAGCTTGTCCCGTAGTTGCTGCATCTCTCCCTGTAAGAATGTAGTTCAGTAAAAAATGAAACAGTATTAAAGTGAAGCCAAATGCAGGAAAATTCATACTAAAAATTTAAAATTAATAAATTAATAAATAAAAGATTAAATCCAAAGGAATCAGAAATAATATTTACCTGCAAGCATCGTCGTTCTTCAAGCCATTGTTTGACAGGCATCACTTTGTCATTAGCATCTTTCCATTCATTTGCTACTACTACAGCTACTCTGTTCGCAGTAACCTTGGCACGAGCTAACTCCCGGTCAAGGGTTTTTCTTTCTTCCTAAAAAGTGTCAAACAAACCATGCAACAATTAAGATGCTCTTAACTAAAAGCAATATAATAAACAAGAGTGAACTTGATGAATTTCACACATTACATTCATTTCTTGCACTTTCCGCTGATAATCTCTCACAGCATTTGCAGCTGCACCTCCTGCGAGGACAGCCTCTTCTAGTTCCCTTACAGTTTGGGTAAGCTTTTCAACCTCTGCCACCTTCAGTCTATGCATTTTGTCCAAAATCTTATTTTCTTCCTGAGAGGGAGAAGTGACGACGATACCAAGTGTAAGAAGTTACATGGTCACAATGTACAAGTAAAGAGAAACATCATACACGATTGCAAATACCTGGCAAATCTCAATCTGTTTAATTAGCTCTTGATTTTTATTTTGGAGATCATCCACCATGGATGCCTTAGCTAAGGCAACCTGAACAGTCCTCTCGGCTTCAAGAAGTGCTGCTTCTTTAGATTTGGTAAGACGATCTAAAGCTTTGTTATCATCTTGAAGTTTAGCAATCTGCAAGAAACAAATCAAAGTAAATAAGGAGATAAAGGCACCTATCACAAGCCAGGCTCAGTCCCCTTCATTAGTCTTTGCTGACAGGAATTATCATTCAAAGTAAAAGAACAAGGTCATACCTCTTGCCGAGCAAGCTTGAGTTCAGCCTCCAGAGGAGCAAGAATGGCTTCTATAGGAGGCATGTCATCATCCTTCTGAGCAGCATGGACCCTTCGAAGTGTGGCTTCGGCTGCAAACTGAGCTGCCATTGATGCTTTCTTTTCATCATTGATTTTCTTTATTTCAAGATTCTGCAAGACATGCCCAGTTCAGTAAACATATCATGTAACCTAAAAAATTACTCATCACTAAGGTTGCAAGAGGCTCCAAGCAATACTTTGCTTTCTAGAAGAGATTCTGTTAACTTCAGCTTCCCCTCAACCTTTGACAATTCTTCAGTCAGCTACAGTGCAAGAAAAAAGGAAAATAAAGTTATATTTCAAGTTGACACAAAGTAATGAAACTATGCATTAAGAAGCAGCAGTAACATGAATAAGTGAAATTATGGCAAAGGGACAAATTCTAACTTCATCTTATAACCACGTAAAAACAATGCAAAGAGTGATTGAGCAAAGAAATTATTCAAATGATTACAACAACAAGGTTAAAATATAATTACTGCATAAATACATGATATGAAACAAGTGGCATCATGATTCTAGAATAAAAAAAATTATAATAAGCACCAAAAGCATTAAAGCAAGCTCAAATTAATATCACCAAGAAGGAGACACAGACGTGTACAGAATGCTTCGTAGAAAAGAATAAGACATTTTTTCTTTGATAAGTAATATTATAAATCAATACAGAAGCATCATCAAGAGCAAAAGTATAAACCGCTAAAATTAGTAATGTTACTTATATCCATAATCCTAACAGCAAAACCATGATCATTTTGGAAATTTATAATTAATTTAATACAACGAAACTGAAAATAAGAGGTGACCTCTTCAACAGCCTTTTCTCTGAGTCGTTCAGAGAACTTCAAGGCTTTGATCTCCGCCTGTGCTTCTGATAATTCTCTGTCCTTATCTGCAAAACACACAGAGACACACCACAATCAACAATCCGAAGCAAAAAACAAGTCACGAACTCGCCAGATCGAGCCACATTTTCGCACCTCTAACTTCGTTCTCCAGTCGATTGAGCTCCACCTTCACCGGATCCGAACCGTGAAGAAGGTTCATGAACTCGTCCGCATCCAGGCTCGGCCTCATCGAAGGCGCACGCCTCCGCGACGAGCTCTTTCCTTCCTTGAATGATCCCGACACCGTAAACGACGGTGGAGTTGCCACAGTCGCCTCCACTCCCCCGTCGCCGGAAACCTCGGCCATGGCTGATCTAACCGATGCCAAAACCACTCACATCCAAATGCTCCTACCTCAGAGGATCCCGAGATATAGAGCGAGACAGAGAAAATGCAGGTCTGAAAAGTGAAAACTAAAACGGTGGTTTTAGGGAGAGAAAGTGAGAGAGAGATGGTCTCACAGTTTATGATTGTTCCTCTTTCTAGATTGTGATTTTAAATCTGGCTTTTCCTTTTCTTCTCTTTTTTTTTTCTTTTTTTTTTGTCTGGGTTATCTTGTTAGAGTGATAATCAGAGTGAGAGATTAAATAAATTTCAGTAATGAAAGTATAGCTGTTAAGCAGGCCAATGCTGAATGACAGTGAAAGACAGTAAACTCCTTATCAAGTTGCTAATCCATCTAATCTCACCGGGGTTTGAGTTTATAATAAACCGGTAGCGTAATGCGCACTTCATGCAGGATAATCGGGGTGTCGTGCGCGGGTCGGCGTAGGATAGCAAATGGGGCCTTTATAATAATAAGAGTAAACACCTTTTTTTTGGTCCATGTCAATATCTACGAAATCTTTTTAGTCCCTGGCAATATAAAAGGACCAAATTGGTCCCTAAAATTATAAAAAAAGGGTCACATTAGTCCTTATGTCAACTCCTCCGTCACTAACGCAGCCCTTTTTGCATACTGTTAGGGACCAATTTGGTCTTTTTTTATTCTCAGGGACTAAAAAGAATTTCGTAGATATTGTCAGGGATCAAAGAGGTTGTTTAGTCTAATAATAATAATAGTCGTGTAAATGTTTGTTTATATCCAAGTTTGAGAAAGACCATTTTCACTTCGGAGATACGGGAAGATTATAAAACTTCTAAATTCTCCATAAAAAACAAAAATATTATATTTGGCTGAGAATGATGATAATTATACGTTTACATCCTTTTTCTTTTTTGTGGTTCTCTATTGGCATTCCTTGTTGAAGGTTAGCAACTTTAAGTTATTAGCTCATCTATTGGTTGAAAGGAAGTGCTTTAACTTTATAGTTCTTCATACAATGTTCGATTGATTTGTTAATCATCTCTGCCTTTACAATGAAATGAAAATGTTTTAACTTATGTTTTCATGGCGTTAGTGTGTCTATCGCAATTGGATTTTAACCTCTATTGCCATTCTGCCCGCTAATCACGCTATGACCTTAGTATAGATCTTGAATTACACTAAAGATTTAATAATACAGTATAACTTCTTTGGAAAAATTAAATGGCTACTACCCAAATCATGTAGTCCAGTTTTCTTCTTAGACTTTACTTTAGCTCGCGCTTCTTTTATATAAATTGCTAAATATTTCCCACGTACTGCAACACCATTCGAAATTACTCTTTTAAGAGTAATATAATAATTAAACAAAAACTTTTAAATTGAGATAGATTTGTATTGAGAAATTGGAAATTGGAAGTTGGAAGTTTTACCGTAAAGACCAGTATTTGATTCATAATAAGTTGTGTGCTCTAAGAATTTATCACATGGAGGGACCTTCCTACCACGTTTGAAAGTGCTGCCACAAAAGTAAAAAGGGGCCACTGCTTTGGATATGCCTGGGGATGCAGCTCGCTTGCACAACAGGCTAGAGTGGTGACTCGTACCTCCAATTAGACAGATTATTCTTGGCTAGACACGTTCAGATTCCTAGTGGGGTATAAACAAATTCCACCCATATTAATGTCCAAAATACGACTCCTCACCTCACGCAACTATTCAACTGGTCTAGTTCTCTTAACGAGGGAAACGAATAATTTCCATGTCAGGCAAATAACCAAATAACCAGTCAGTTGACAAAGTACAATACCCCTAACAACTTTACTCCAGTGGGCACCAACAACACTTGATTTTTCGTTGAAATACTTATAATTTACACTAGATAATGTGTAAAACACAATTTTATTCTAAACAATAACACCCATTTCACATGGAATGGAAGCAGAATCCAATTAGCAAATATTCCGGCTATGCTTGATTAGGGTTAAATTGGAAACCGAGTAAAAGGAAGAAATTTGATGAATTTCAAGATACATGTTCTCAACTCTCATTCATTTTATCAAAACAGAAGCACATTTGTTTTTCTCTGCGTTATGCCACCAGTCACTAGTTACGACAGCCAAGTGCATCAGGTAGAAATATTTGGTATTTGAAACTTGTTAAATATCCAATCAACTAAACTTGAAAACAACAAAAAGCATAAAGATATAAAAGTTCCCTCAATACAAATGGAAACAACATAAGCAAGAAAACATAATTACTAGTTCCTGGCATGCTTAAGGCACACAATCATCTCATAACATCAAATCTGCTAGCTCAAGCTTCCACCCTTTCCTCCTCCAGAATCAGGGCCTTTCCCGTTGGTTTTGCCAATAGATCTGTGTACTCTTGGAATGGAGACTTAGAAAACCTAGTCTCTCTCCAGAACTCCGGAGTTAGAAACCCGTATGTTTTCAGCAGACACTCAAAAGTAGCCTGTTAAAAGACAAGGAGGCATTATGGACATAGATAAATAATGAATAGGTAACAAGCTAGATGTGAACCAAGTCTAACCAGCTTTGATTGGCCATTTCAAAAAAAAAATTATCATTTCATGCATTTCAATTGCTTCTCTTACTAAGTATTTTCTAAATGTATCTGTATGAGGGATACTCTTCGTTGTCAATTCGTAATGACAGTGACCAATAAAAAAAATTGGAAACTGAAATTACAGGGAGAAACAACAACAAAATTTAAGTACTCAAACTTTGGCATTCGACTTATATTTCTCCAAACCCCATTAACATCCCCAACTAGCATAATAACTCATTCAACGAACTTATAGTAGAAGAAAACCACCTGGCAATTCCATATAACCAAAAGGTAAAATGTAAAATTATGCATGATTCCATAACTAGTTCAATTAAATGAAAAAAAAAACCATTATCAATAAACTACAAGAAATATTGTTTGGATAAAAAGAGGAAAATATATGTGACAGAATTGATAAAAGGCTCTCAAAAATACAGAGTGCATTCTACGGCAAAATGGCTTATGAATTAGATGCTTGCAAAGTATATGGAACCTGATACATGTATTTAAGAAAAGGCTTTAACGCTTCTACGGTGAACGTGTTCACTCCCAAAACAACTTCATTTTGGATTGAAAAATACAAAAAAAAATTCTTGATTTTCGACTCAAAACGAAGTCACATTGACTGTAGTGAAGATGTAAAGAACCTTGGGGTACACCACCCCAAAAGCTAGCTCAAAGGGTGGGAGTGCCCAAGACCTTATAAACTCCATATTAGTTGCACATACAACCAATGTGGGACTATATATCTCAACACGCCCCCTCTCACAAGAGCCCATTGGGCTTGAAGAGTGGACAATGCAACAGGCCCAGCCTACCTGTGCTAAGAAATTCCACCGGAGAGAAAGTGGGGGGCGGCGAGGCTCTGATACCATGTAAAGAATTTTGGGATACACCATCTCAACATGCCCCCTCACACAAGAACCTTAAAATCACGGTAACGAAGTCACATTGACCGTAGAAAAAGCGAACCCTTAAGAAAATTTACAATCTCCATAAAATTAGAAAAACTTAACACGATTAACCAAATGAAAGCATGAGCACTATTTACACCATCGTAGGTAATTAAAAGAATGAAATGTTTTTTCACATTCAAATCATATTCCTTGAAAATCTTATAAATCACGGTAACGAAGCAGCATCTTAGAATCAATCGGATAAGTTAACAAGCTTATTAAAAAAAATTAAATCTTAGCATACCAATCAGAAATTATAACCCAAATAAAACAAGGGTTGTGTTTTTCATTTTAAATGACATAACTTTGTGTCATTTAAAATGTTCCCATAAAACAATATGAATAAACAAAAAAAAAATAATAGCAATCAAATCAATATAAGAAAGAAAAACAAACCTTGACGAAATTTCCAAGGGTTTTTGTGGATCCTCTGGAGGAAGTGAAGACGTCATCAATCCCTGCAAACTGCAAAACTTTCTTAGGAACCCTAGCAGCAACGATTCCAGAACCACGTGGAGCGGGAACCATGCGAACGGTTACGGAACCACATTTCCCTGTTACCTTGCAGGGAACAGTATGGGGCTTCCCGATCTTGTTTCCCCAGTAGCCTCTCCTAACAGGAATGACGGAGAGCTTCGCCAAGATGATAGCACCGCGAATGGCGGTGGCAACCTCCTTGCTGCACTTGACTCCAAGGCCAACGTGACCGTTGCTATCGCCCACAACAACGAAGGCCTTGAACCGGGTTCGCTGACCAGCACGGGTCTGCTTCTGAACCGGAGTTATCTTCATAACTTCGTCCTTGAGAGAGGGACCAACCAAAGTGTCGATTATTTGATATTCCTTGATTGGGAGAGAATGCAGATAGATCTGCTCCAGACTTCGGATCTTTCCTTCTTTCACCAGACGGCCCAGCTTCGTCACTGGGACCCACTTCTCCTCTTCTTCGCGGCGTCCGGAGGTCCTCCGCCTGCCACCGCGACCCCTGTCGCCGCGGCCACGACCTCCGAAGCCCCGGCCAAAGCCACCACGGTCTCCGCCACCACGTTCAGCCATTAGTTGATCGATGAGAGAACGGCAAGGGGTAAGTGACTGCTTAGAGAGAAAACGAGGAACGTAAAATGTAGGGTTTCTGATGTTATTATATGTAGGGGTAGTAGGGTTCGGGTGTGTTTGGTTTCCAGTCCTAGTGAAACTCAAACCCGTAATAGGCTTGTGTTCTGGGCTTTCAGGAAAGCCCACTTCTCCCAAACAGGTTGGCGCGACGGGCTGATCCAATTTTATACTAACTTTTTGGGCGAAGCACACTTAAAACTTAAGCATTTAATTTGTGCCTTTTTTATTTTATTTGTTGCGTTTTTTCTTCTTTTGCGTTTTCCTTTCTTTACTAAACTAGTGCCAGTACCCCGATGCACGAAGAAAAAAGATCAAAAATTTTGTCGACGTCTGTCGTCGGTTAATCATTAAAAAAAAAATCGTGTCAGTATTTTATGCAAATAAAAAATAGTTATGTATTCTATAATTGATTATTTTCATATACAGCAATGCATATAGCATCAAAAGTGATGAGAATATGAGATGCAAATTGTCCTACCAAAGAGAAATCATCAAAAAATGAAAAAAAAGTTCTTACGCTCAATATTATCTAGAATAATTATTACCTAGAATAATTATTACCGTAAAAGAAATTTAAATGTTTTAAAGTTCTTTTAGGCACGCTACATTAAGTTAGTTAATTCAATTTGACAAGTGAACTTTTTGAGAAACGTAACTTATTTTCAAACAAATTCCTTTGATGAAATTTTCAACTATGATCCTAAATAGTCAGTATTTATCCTTTCAACACAACAAGTATTTTTTCAGTAAGTAAACCTACGACCATAAATATGGCTCAATTTGGCAACTTCGTCTGCAATATACTAAGGGATATCATAAACAAAACAATACATCGAATGATTGAGTCAAGAAACAATTTATTGTTATATTAACCGATTGATGACCAATGCATGTGACTAAAAATATTGTGATATTAATAAATATAATAAAACAAAAATCATTATAATACTCTTTGTATGTAATTAACTGAGATATTGAAATAATATAAGTTGTTAGCCTTTTTCTCTTTCCATGCTATCAACATGATTTTGTAACTTGTTCCAGTGAACAACAAAAATTTAGATATTCTAGTTATCCCTGTATTATTTTTTGTCCAATATTTATACTATTTTTTTACGGTATTATCTCCTACTTTTTACCAAATCAAGTCAACCCAAACTCAGTAGAAATGCCTTGTAACTAAGAACATGTCATTAGCTGCAGGAACAAGAAATTGTCTTACCCTCAAATAACACTAAGAGGGAGAAATTAAAAAATAGAAAGAAAGAAAAAACAATGGCCAGTCATTTGTGCCCAATCTCAAGACTGTAGAGTTTTTTAAAGATCAAGGTTTGCGAAGCAACATTGTTGAAGATCAAAACAAGGGAGGCTAACGGAGAACCCACTTATTTCCAGGTGGATGACCACCAAGCAAATATGAAGCAATTATGTTTCTACCAGAAAACTAAAATCCATAAAACACAATGAAATAAGCCGAAAGTTGGACTGCCATATTTTCTGTTGTTTTCTCCTGGAAACACATCACATTAGAACTCTACTACGGTTATTTTTAATGTTTTATTATCTTTTAAATTGTTGGGTTGTTTAAATAGTGGGTAAGGATAGTTATCTTGTTTTATTATTTAAATTTAACTTTAATGAAGAATAGGTTATTGCTATTAGTGGAGCCTATCTAGTGTTAGTGGGTAGTTACTTTTATGATTGTATTATCTATTTAAATCTTGAAGTATTGGAATAAAGAGGATTAGATTCGAAAAGTTATCCCAAAAGGCACTTGTGCAAGAGATCACACTTCTTCAGAAAAGTCATTTGGAGTAAGGCCTCATCAATAAAGCCAAATTTTCATTTTTATTTGTTTTGTTCGTAACTATAAAGTTACGATCTAATTACAAAGATCGGACTTGAGTCTCACATTGGTTATATGGGTGACTAATGTGAGGCTTATATAGACTTTGAGCTCTCCTACCTCATGAGCTAGCTTTTGAGGTGAAGCCCTCCCAAAGTTCTTATTAGAGCCTTTCACTATGTTTCACGGTTGCAATTGTGTGGCATGGGTGGTGACGTTGGTATTGCAGTGTTCGTCCAGGGCTAGTAAAAGATTAACGCAAAGTCAGCTGCGTGGGCTATGTTACAATCCCATTTGCAAGGTATGATATTAGCCCCGTGCAAACACTGAAAAGTCGTCACCACCCGCGCCGTTTGCAATAAGGAGACATAGTGGAAGGCTCTTATTCCATTTGATAAGAACCTCGGGATGCATCACCCCAAAAGCTAGCTCAAAGGATGAGAGTGTCCAAGACCTTATAAACCTCATATTAGTTGCACATACAACCAATATAGAATTTCAAGTATCATACCTTGCAAATGGGATCGTAACAAACTCTTGAATGGAAATGAAAACCAGATATTTCAGAAATGGCACAAACAACACAAAAGGCATTGATATAATCATCTTAACTTGATTCTGATTAACAAACTCGAGACAAGAAATAGAATAACTTTCAAATGACTAATAAAAGACAAAGTAAGTTTCAGTAAATGCAAATATGCAATGTATTCCTTTCTTAACGCTACTTTTTTTCTAGAGAAGTAATTGAACAAAACAATGATAGCTAAACGAGCAGATTGGGAGGTCTTTTTGTTTCTCTGTCTTAATATACATATACACAACAGCAGTTGAAAAACCTGTTCTATCACAAGAATAAGTTTGACAGGATAATATATCTTCCATCTTTGCTATTCCATCACACCTGCTCATTCCCTTTTTGAATATTGTACTTACAAAGTGGACAAGTTGCATTCATCTTTAACCATTTCACTATGCATGTAGTATGGAAATGATGGTTGCAAGGAAGAGTATGGAGTTCTGCTCCATCCTCGTAAGAACAGATGCATATACAGCATTCCTGAAAAGAAAACACGAGAGAAAAAATTAATTTACTATTTTCATAAATGTTTCGAGTCTTGCAATCCGAAGGTAGAAATTAGATTATTATTTCTTTCCTTTTGTACAACCAGAAATTCACACAGCAAAACATATGGAAATACTGTACAAATCATGCGGTGACCAAAGATGGAAAATTGAGGAACCATGTCGCAGAAGTGATTAACCACACAAGACAGGGAGAAATTAACTTACCGCATCTTCAGGTGAAAGTATTCGGTCATTTGTCAAGTAATCACTGGTGGATTCTATGGGAATCATTGACCCACCTCCCTCACTAGGTGTTTCTTCATTGTTTAACATTTGAAATCTGTATTTTGGAAGCATACTGAGATCTGATTCTGATGCACCATCCTATAGTATCACGAAATGAGACAATGAAAACAATCAGAAGGCCCACAAATATTTGAAATTTTTATGTCAGTATATATATATATATATATATAGAGAGAGAGAGAGACAAGATCTTTTGACACCTCATCCAAGAGCCATTAGATCAAAAAAAATCAACGACTCTGATTTGTAAGCATGTGACACCATTGATCTTTGTTGATCTAACGGCTCTCAGATGAGGTGTCAAATTTTAAATTTGACACCGGTGTCAAATGATCCTACCTCATATATATATATATATATATATATATATATATATATATATATATATATATAGGGAAAAGTGTTTGTCATTTTAAATGACAGAAAGTTATGTCATTTTAAGAGAGATACAGACACAGAAAATTTGAATTTTAAATTAAAAAAAATCACTCACTTTCTCTCTCCCATGATTTTCGTTTTTCTGTGTCTATCTCTCTCCTAAAATGACATAACTTATATCATTTAAAATGACATAACTTATATAATTTAAAATGACAAACACCAATTTTTATTTTTACTTTTACTTTTATGTTTCTTTTCTTTTTTTTTATCTTTCATTTGGGTTTATCTACCACCGACTCCAATTAATTTGGGATAAAGATGTTGTTGATGTTGATGTTAAAAGAAAATCATACCTGTCCTGCAACAGCATAGAGAACAGCGATAATGCAGGGTAAACAACAACAGAGGGCAATGCCAATAAAGCATGCCAAAACAACACAAAAGATGGCAAAGAAGACATCAAATGCCAGAAAGACAACAGCCAACCTGTACAAATTCACAAAAACAGAGATATCCTTTCCTTAATATCAAAAAAAATTGCATAATTCATCATGCAATCAACCACTTATCTGTCAAAAAAAATATGCTATAGATAAAAACAAATTTTGAAAAATTCTCCTCGGTGCTTTGTAATGAAATCTTTAATTAAAGAAGACTATTTAGCATTTGTTCTGTCCTTCTTTAACATTTCAAGCTCCAAGGTGTACTTATACAAAACAAGAGAATTAGGGTGGACTATGCAGTTTTAATCAGAAAAAAAAAATGCCCCTAACTACATGAGAAATAGCACTAATACTATAAGCATGGAGATGTGTGGATTTATAGAATAACTTTAAAACATAAAAAAGTACCTCATAGTAAAGGAGATAATGCTTGAAGGTACCTTGCGTAGAATTGCACCAATTAATAAGAACATATCTTTCTTTTATCGAAAAAAGTAAACAAATAAATATATACGAAAAATATATTTCCTGAACTTTTGAATGGAAAATCAAAATCACAATGTTCAGGCAAAAGCAAAAAAATTGTGAGCGAATGCATGAACATGGTCTATATGAAAATTAATATGCAAACACTGTTCTTGAAATTCAGTTTAAATAAAGGCTTACCAGTACAAACGTGGAGCATCTTGCAGAAGAATATCACCACCAGAGACAACCCAGTAAAAGCCCACCACCCACCAAAGCAATGAAAGCATGGTATTAAACGATGCACATTGTTTGGTCAATCTGAGTCGTAGGTAATCAAAATCAGTATATACAAATCTTAGTTACCTAGTACAGCCCAAAGAAATATATAACAATAAACCGAACTACATACAACTCCAGTAGATTAACATGCTTTAGCAGGCCGGGCAGTCATACTAACTTAATACCAGAAAAGTCAATAATACCATATTGCTTTCACCCATGGTTCATTTGTCAAAGTAAACCAAAAGTCACCTTATCTACATTATTTATAAGAGTAGACTATAACTTCAGCACTCTGTTAACATCTTGGATACCTCTCAATCAACTAAATCTAGCAAGAACTTGGTTCACGTGTCAGGGTACAGGACTTCTGTTCAGTACTGCTGTCCAAATGAAAGGCTTAAACTTAGATAATTGATGCTTTGAATCAGGATCATTTAAGGATTGATATTGAGGTCTTCTTTGCAAGATGCAAAGGACATAATAAAAGATACATGCTGCCATGAGAAAAGCTACAAAGAGATAGAGGAAACTTCATGAAGAAGCTATACTGTCTATAATGGTTGTTCTGTTAAACTGAAGCTGAAACAGTGGAAAATGACAAGAGAATATGCACAGGAGCAGAACAAAGATTTAAGAAGAAGAAAAAACCTCATACCCATTACCCAGATTCTAAATCCATCGTTAAAGAGCGTATAAGATCACAGAACTAACTGCTCTAGTTCCTGCTCTTTGACTACATAATAACACGAAATCTAATACCAAGGAAACCTATCTTACCATAAACCCGTTGGAAGCACACAGCACTAATCTCTCCAAGAGATGCCGGTAAATCTTAAATTTTAACCCAACGAACCTCACACCCTAATTATGAAATTGCATAACAAAAAAAAAAGTGACAAATTGATGAGTTGATTATCAAAATTAAGTAAACAAATTGAGGCACAAGGAAATGAAATCCAACGCACCCAGAGCGAGAGGAATTCCCGGAGGTTCCAACTCCAATATCGTCGTCCTCACTGTCATTGACGTCGTTCTCAGGGTTACCAAATTCCTCATCCCTTGCCCTCCCAGAGTTTCCATTCCTCCTCCTGTATTCAAGCCACACCAGAACCACGTGAACCAGGCACTGCACCGCGTACGCGCCGATCCACAACCGGATCGGAGTGTTCGGCTTCTCATCGAGTGTGCAACCCAACATCACAGCCGAGACCATCACGAAGGCCATGTTCCACGTCATGTCGAGCGCCACCACAGGCTTCGAGTAACCCCAGTCCGCCCGCCGCTCATCCAGCTCACGCGCCGCCGTCTCCCGGACCATCAGGGAAGGGCCACGGCGGCCAAGAATGAGCGCGAGGATGGGGGTGCGGGCGGCATCGGAGCCTACGCGACGGGGGCGAAGGAGCGGCGCGTGGGTCTGAGGAACCGAGGTTTGTGATGACATGGCTAGAGAGAGATAGCGCGGAGGCCCAAAAGCATAATCGAAGTTGAAGTTGAAATTGAAAAGCGGGGAAGAATTCAAGAGAGAGGGAACCGCTTCTTCTTCTTCTTCTTCTTCTTCTTCTTCACGTATGTGAGCGTTGAATGGTAGATTGAAGTTGGAGAAATAGTAGATTCACACATGTTTCATCTTGGTTAATTTCAAACATTTAATATAGTTAATTCATACATTACCTATTCAAACCGAGTTTTTAAAGTTATTTTATTGACCCTTTTATGTAGGCATTATAAGGGGAGAAACCCCTCCAACACTTCTATCAAAGCTTTTTTTATTGTTTTTTTTCTTTTCAATGAAATATTGGTTGCAGCTAATAGAAAGCACATACATTATTTACTAGAATAACAATTCTCACTTTAATTTTATTTATATTTATTTAACTATTCACATGAATTTTTATTTTTAATAAATTAGAATAATTAAATACAAATAAAATCATTAATTAATAATAAAGTAAGAAATCTTGTTTTTACATTGGTATAAATTCATCCCTCCTCTTAATATGCTAATATATAAAGTTTATGAGATTACTATAATTCTCGCTTTTAGTTATTTAAATACGAGAAAAAGGATCATTCTTGTTATAAATGTTTAACTATGGGACACATTTTTTCTTCCTTTACTTTTAAGAAAGAAATCTGTCAACTAACCTGAGCAAGTAGTGAAAAAAGAAGAATAAAGATACTGACATAAAAACGTCATCATATTTTATATTCTTTACTTTATCTGATTAATTTAAAAAATATATAGCGACTATTTAAACTGAAACAAATACGAAGTGTATTCTACAAATATCAAACCTTTTTCTTTAAGGAAAAGAAAAGGTTGTGATATTTAACACTTTAGTATAAAACTTTTTAAATTATGACTTCACAAATGATTTACAATATATTATGCAACATAAGCCTGTAATTGAATATAAAAACCAGGAATTGGAAATGATTTTAGCCGTATATTCTTTGAGGGTTTATAACTAAATCAAAGGGCGAATCTAAATATTATAACTATTTTTTATATTATGCTCTATCTTTAACAAGATGCTTCAAACTATTATACATATAATCATAAAGATAGTTAGGGAGTGTTTGGCAGAAGAGAAAAAAAATTTGTCTGAGAATCTCAATTTTCAAAAATATAATTTTTACATAAAATTAAAAATTTAAAAAAATTCAATTTTTCAGAAATCTCCAAAAATCCGGCATACCAAACGGGCCCTTATGGTCATTTTTTGGTGCAATATGTATAATAGTACAACGTCAGTATGTTTTATAATATCAAAATGTGTTATTGCACTACTTTTTTATTTTTGAAGTACATTATTGCACTACTTTATGGGCTGCTTCTAAGCTACTTCAGGCTCTTTTGCTCCAGAGAGTCAACGATAACACATTTTGAGTTTTGACATGATAAAATGAAAATTTTGATTCCAAAGTTCCAAAAATAACACAATTATCCTGTTGTAAAACAACGAGTTCACCCGTTACAAAACAAGGCTGTGTATCCTTGTCCATGCTTCTTACCATCACCCCAGCGGGTAACACATTGCAAGAGTATTATAAAATCACTAAGTTCAAGGAAGTTCTTAAACAACAAATCGGTAGGTAACATATCTGCCTGCAGTCTCACTTGGCCGGATTATCTTCACAACTTGACCACGCTTCAGTCCATAATATCTTGAAACAGGGTCAGTCACCTGGATTCTAGGTAGCTGAGAAGCAGCCCATAAAGTATCATGTCAGTATCTACAGAAATTTATAGAAGACTACTAGAATTGCAATATGCATACAAGACACGGTCACACGGATCACCAAAACAGTACACAGTGCATTTTATAAATCCCAAGATTGTCTACAATATTTAAAAAAAAAATCAGTATAATATTGAACAGAAAAAAATGGCCTCCACTAAAATCAGCCATTAGTTAAAGTATGGAGTAAACAATTACATCTTTACCAAAAGAACTTGCAATTCTCAAAAAATTCAGAAGCTCTAAGGACATGTGAATGTAAATGATCATGAATCTGAAAAACTTTATAGGAGGGTATAAACAGTGTAAGAAGCTTCCTTTGGATGGAAAAACAATTAATTGGGAGCTAATTTTACTTTTCCTTACTATTTAGCTAACATCAAAACTAAATTAGGTTCAGATACTAGGTAAGACTCATCAAAGCAACACGTTGGTCCAACATACACAAGTCAGCAAAACAGGTACTATCAATTATCATGTGGCATATTTGACACCAACAACCTAGTTAAAAATTACTTTGATACATTACTAACACTGAACAGTGGAAGTAATCTCTTTTTAGGCTTTAGATTTTAAAAAAATTAAAATTAAAATTTCCAGCCTTAAGTATGCACATTACAAAATGGAACCACAGTTCCCATAGTCAGTGGAGTCATGAATAGTTAAAACCTCACCATCTCAAACTGGATTATACTATGTTTTTGGATCCACTCATCCTCTTTAAATCTCTTAGCAGAATTGATTTCGGGAGAGAAATTTTTATCATTTATCAACATTGGAGGCTTAAATGTCTTCTTCAGCATACACTAGTTCAAGAATTAGAATGATTTCTTAATCTCATTTTTCTAAATTACAGAATCTTGGCAACCCAAAAGAAGCCAGCATCAAACTCACAAGCTGTAAACCCATAATTTGGCATCCAACTATCATGTCATAGCTCTAAAATGACAGCCAGGTTTTCAGATGCTTAAATGTACTTCTATATGAAATTGTTGAGAAATGAATTCCGATGGCAAATAATTAATTTTGAAATCCATACAGCAAAGGCTAACATAACATTCAAAATTAAACACCCTAACCTGAGTTTCTTTGACAGTATATCTCTCAAGCAAAGTTTTCTTTTCTGCATCAGTCAGTATTTGATGTTCCGGCACAAGAACATGCTCTTTTATGTTGACCAGCAGTTCTGCCTCCTGCATTCAAAATTGTAAATACATATCAAGCATAAAGTTGAAGAAAGCAATGAAGGTGCAGCAACAGGATTTTTCGCCATTGTAATTTACATAATACAAAAGAAAATGGAAAAAAAAATCTTAACCATTGAAAAGTAGAAACTAAAGAAATAATCATAATGTAAAGCGCCAATTCAACCAAAAAGCTTAAACTGTTAGGTGAGGCTACATTAATGGTTTTATATATCTCTAACACATCCCCTCACAAGAGAGACCATTGGACTTGAAAGGTGAATGATACATCAGACCCAGCCTACCTATGCTAAGAAATTCCACACACAAAATGAGGGGCGGCAAGGATCGAACCCGGGACATCGTCTGATACCATATAAAGCTTAAGTTATTGGATGAGACTACATTAATAGTTTTATATATCTCTAACACATAACAAGATAACATTTGCACATATATCTCTTGATGAAAGTTTCAGAACGTAAAGATTAGAAATAAGGTGTACAAGTAATTTGAAGTAGCTGCCTCAATAATGAACTGCATTTATCTACTAAGTTTACAAAATTGAAACCACATAAAGCAATAGTTTCACTCATTATCGCATCCTGTATTTCATTAACTGTTAATAGTGCCTCCCTAGCTACATATTGGTTTGTCCCTCCCTAGCTACATGATGATTAATGAAGCACCTCTCACCTGAAAAACCTCCAAGTGAAATTTTGAAGATATTTCACTGACACAAGTTCTTGCAAAGGATGTTAAATTCTGTTGAGCAACCATGATAGCCCTGAAAACGTTCTCTGAATTCATGCGGTTGGTGTACGTCTTCATGGTCTTAACGCCAACCTTAGGCTCGTCGGGAAAGAAAACATAGATCTGTGAGAAAGAGTAATTAGGGCACACTAACAACATAACAAGTGGAAGCAGAAATTAAATTTGTGAATGGGGAAACCTGATCAGTGGAATTATCTTTCTTAGTTTTATTGATAACAAGGTCTTCCCTCTTCATGTTTTCACCGTACTTATTCTTGAACTCGAGTTTGGACATATTGATCTCGAAGTCACCAACAAGGTAACCCCTGTCCCTCAGCATTAGCATAACCGTCTTTCTGACTCTGTAAAGCCTTGACATTTCCTCCTCCGAAAGCACCATCGTTTCTGGTCTCTATTCTCTAGAGCAAAAACCAGAAAGCACCCTGAGCAGAAAGAAGCGGTTTCGGAAAACTAGGGTAAGGGGTTTATGTTTAAGGTGACGCATTGCGACATAGCGTCTCTATTTTAAATTCCTCAAAACACGTTTCGACGAGAGATTACCACACCCACATAGAACCTAAAGAGCAACTACATTTTGTTTTCGTAAGCAAAAAAAAAAAAAAAACAAGAGAGAGAGAGAGAGAGAAAAGCAATACCTGAGTCTGCGGAGTGACACTGAGAACGCGCGTCCTTGGCTCGACGACTCTCTCACGGCTACTGCATATAAGCATATTCATATCAGGGTCCCTGTATATGGCAGTTGTTTTTTTATATTTTGTAAACACTCAAACGATGTTGATTTGGGTCAAGTTCTTTGAAAAAATTAGGAGGAACTGAGAGCTATAAAATGGATTTTGTAACATATAGAGGGTTAATATTTCTAGTACTGTAAAAGATAAGATTATATCATATAACAGTATCTGAAACTTTTGTAGGTCCATATAAAAAAAGATAAGGAAAAAAAAAAACATGAGCCACACATGTTTTCATGTATGTAACTAATAATTTTATCTCTTACAATATATATTTAAGAAAAGTGTTTCTCCAAACAGTTTCTTGGAGATTTCAAAACGCGGAGCCTTCCCTTGCTTATTATAAAGCTCTTGTAGATGCAAGATAAGCTCTTGTAGATGCAAGATGATCGAGGGAGCATCCATATGCTTATATTGACACTAAAGCTCCTCGGACATAAATGCCAGCACTACCTGCTTATTGTCCGCTAGGTGCTGTGTATGGGCTTGCCAGTCATACTCGGCATACCTATCTTGTCGTTCAGTAAAGCAACAGGAATCAGAGACTCTAGGACATAAGCTATCTTCTCAGAACGCAAAATATTTTCACATTCTGATATAAGTCCTTGAAGTTAGGCCCAGTTAACTTATTAGTATCCAGAATAGAATGCAAAATGAAATTTTCGGCTATGACTCAAATGCTGAAAATAAAAGACGGGCTATATAGGTATTTCGTGAAATTAAAACCATATATAGAGACTTTTAAATATATGTGGCCTTCCTTCTATTTTTTCATAAGGACATCTGTAGTGAGCTAAGAGAACGACTAGATTCATTAGTTTCCGGCTGAGCCTGCAAAACTAACTTATCTAGTGGGTTGACCTGATCAACAATATCCCTATGCCTTTCCTTAGATCTTCAAGTTGATAATTCTTTGTCACTTAGTGTCACATCACTATGTAATAACCTGACATTATTGCCCTAAATGCATAGATCCGACTGAGTCTGTAAACTATACATCTAGTCATGCACAAACCATCATCCTAAGTGTCATACATTTCAAATGACACCATTACTAACGAAATGATAAGTCTTAACTAAGTCAAAGAGCACTACCATATAGAAGATATTTAAGTACCAATGATGAAAGGCAATCAAACGTGCTAGATAATTTTGTGAGAGTTCATTTTCGGTCTTATCTTTAATTGTTTATTTTATCTTTCATACATAATTAGATATACAAACTAACTATCATATAGTTCATTTTAAACGATTTGTCTTATCATGCATACTAGTCGTAGAGTGATCGCGTCTACTAACAACATTCATACTATTCATTAATTTTATCTCCTGCAATCTAAAAATGACGTAATTTTGGTGTTTAAGATTAAAAAAAGGATATTTTAATAAAATTTCTGATAGGAGAACACATGTATATACTTTTTATGAACTATTCTTTTGAAAATTATGTTTTCAAGAGTTATAATTGTTATGTGTTAGGATTAATATTTAAAAATTGTCAGCGGTTATAATAAAAAAAATTTGCAACCTCTTCATCACCGCTAGATTAACTTTAAACTGATAGCTCATAATTTTTTCTTCTCCCTCTTCGGTTTCACCATCTCTCACGTTCACTCATTTTGGGTCTCACCATCTCCCACATTTTCCCCATCTTTGCAGTCTCACCTCCTGCAACGAACACATGAATCAAAGAAAGGGTTGTGTACTTGGTATCAAGACACTTCCTAGAAATGGACCCCATAGGTTCACCACTTCGTCCATGAAGAACAAGTTACAATTTCTGGTGCGTACTATGTCCGCTTTTCGGATTATGATAGGCCTGAGCTCGCAGTTGCGTTTGGGGTGAGTGAGGACAAGATGTGACGCGTGGTTGTACATTCCTAAGGCTTCATTTGGTAGCAGTATTATATTTGAACTCCCAGGAAAGGTAGGTAGGGAAAATAGAAAACCTATGTTTGGTTGACCAAAAGTTAAAACTTTTCGAACTAAAATTTTTCCCGGATTTGTTTCTCCAGTGCAATTTTGTGTACGGTCACCATAAATGAAAGTCCATAATTTAGTTGGAAATCTTGCCTTGTCCGGGGAAGTAAAAAGTAAACAATGAGTTGGTGGACGGAATTAACCCTATGATTGAAAATCAATATGCTCAACCAGAAGCAATATGTCATTTAACATATGCTCAACCTGAAAGAAAGAAGCAATCCATGTTAGCAGTAAGTAGACATTGTCGCCAAGCACCGATGGGCAAAGGCAAAATGCAGAAAAGCCAGGATGATACTTCCAAGCGAAGTGTGATTACAGATCTCTAACCCCTTGATTTGAAGATGTAGTCGGCTCACACAAAAACCCAACTACTCACACAACACCCAGATCCCTATGAAATAATGATGACTAACGTTATTACGTTTTTTGAATGAAAAGGAAAAGTATGGTTATTTTTGTAAAATAACCACACATTTCCACTTGTACCGGTAGACTCTTTCAGCCCAATATGTTCCCAGAGAGGGAGTAAGATCACTATATGGGTATGGTGACTAGCACAGGTACAGACCAAGCTAATCAGCCAAGCCCTAAGTATTAAGCGGGAAAGGGTTAGGTGTGTGATGTGTATATGCTGTAGAATAAGGGCAGAGTAACTATATCGTAGATGCCCCCTTGGTGGTAAAATAGGGGGTACTTATAGGAGTGGGGAGAGTCCATTTCGCGCGGGTAGGTGTGGAGAGTCAACTCTTCTTGGGAAGGGTCGGATCTTCTGCTTGGGCGATCGCCGCAGGGACAGCTCCTGTCAGCGTGGTGGCCGCTGCTGTCTTCGCCCTGCAAGAGGATATCTTCTACTTAAAGGACCAGACATGAAATGTTTTCACTGCAAGGAAGAAGGTCACAAGATAATCAAATTGCTACAAGCTCAAGGCTTGGTTAGCTGAGAAACAAGAGGGCCAAGGGTCTAACAAACCTAAGGAAACCAACCCCGAAGGAGGCGAAGCTTAAATTTGGTAGGAGCAATGCTGATGAGGATGTGCTGCATGTGGGCAATGTTATTCCGCTTCAAGATTTTGGATATAAACTTTTTTTTTGAATAACGTGTTTTATGTTCTTGACTTTAGAAGGAATTCAATTTCTCATTCTTTTCTTGACAACAAACGATATTGTTTTAATTTTGAAAAAAAAAAAGGTGACATTGTTATTGAAAATATCATAATCGAGTTCATGTTGGCAGATTCAATGACAAATGGATTGCGACCCATATTGTTCAAGGAACATGTGATGAATATGGTATTTGAGATTATTTTCATTCCCTTTATCAGTGGGAGTCACATTTAGTTAGTTTTCTTTCAGTTATTCTACACACAAACTGATGTCTTTTTTGAAGAATTGTTGAAGTTTTATGATTGATGATTATTGTTATTTTGTTATCATTTTTCTTTTGTCGAATGAGAAATATAATTGTCTTTAAACATGTTATGAAGTTTAAAGATATATAAGTGTCACTACTGAGATCTCATGTTGTACTGTGACATACTGGCTTACTTAAGCAAAGCAAATTCATGTTGTTTAGAAATTGCGGTAATGCGATTTCATATTGTTGAGAAATTGCATAAAAAAAAGTAATTTCATGTTGATTGAAAATTGCACCGATGTAATTTCATGTTGTTGAGTAATTACGTTGAGGACGAATAAGTTTTAGTATTTTACATTGTTGATCATGTTTTGGCACTAATTCTCACTACACTACTAGGCTTATGATTCATGAAGATGTAATACTCATTGTATGTGAGTGTGGAAGGTCGCATGTCAGGATATTTTTTGGTATATTGATCGCCATGTTCCTATGATGGGGTTATGTTGGATTGAATCATACTGAGATGCTGCTTTTCAAAATCGTGTCCACGTAAAATTATTTTTTAGTTATTAACCCGATAGAGTCATTTTTGAAATATAATAATTTTCAAAATAATATTAAACTAATTAATATAGCCCAAGTGGGAGAATGTTATTAATTTTCTTTTTATGTGGACAATATTAATTAATTAGTTTTTTATTTTAAAATTAATTAGATTAATGGATATTCCAATACTATTACTTTAACTAGCCCATTGTGATCATTAGGGGTGTTCATCAACCGATCCAAACTGATTCAAACCGCGGTGACCGAACCGAAAAACCGATAACCGAATAAACCGAAAACCGATTAAAAATCACAAATTTTAATTGGATTGGATCGGTTTTTGGATGGGTTGATGAAAACCGATCCAATCCAAACCGATCCAATATATTAATTTCCCTCTACCTACTTGGGTATTTCTCTAATCATAGCCTAAACATTTCTAAACCCAAGACCCATTAACCCATCAACTAAACCCAAGAAAAAATCTAGTCATATCTCATCAACAAAATTTTATCTTTGTAGAGTTTTATATCTCATTGCCAAAATTAAAAAAAGTATATTATAATTTACTAATGATTTTGTATATCAATTTTTTTTTTACAAAACCAATATATACAAAAGATGTTATTTGCACAATAATCATGAAATAAATTTTAGGATTTTCTAAAAACCGAAAACCGATCCAATCCAAACCGAAAAAAATTGGATTGGATTGGATCGGATTTGAAAAAAAATCAAAACCGAATGGATGATTATATAATCAAACCGAAGGGATTGGATCAGATGATTTTTGCTTCCAAAACCGATCCAATCCAGACCGCGAACACCCCTAGTGATCATATTGAGTTGTGCTTTTGGCATATGTTGTTATTGGGCCTAGTTGGGCAGCAATTTAGTGTGACTCTGGTTTCCATTATGGGTGCACCCAGTGAATACAAACTCTTTTCTGGGTAATTGGCTAGGTTCCCTCTTTATAGCCTATTTATATTAAGGTTAAGTCTCATGAACCATCATGCTCTCATTGCAAGAAGGCTGCCAATCTCTAAATAAGCGATAGAGAGGAAGACCCTGACA